AACTGAATAAGGTTCAACCAAATGTCATTAGGGAAGCATAGTATGCTTGCTCTGTTTTTAAAATGAAATATTCCCTAGTTCTGTCTGCCAAAATGTTCCAGAAACAAGTACCCAACCAGTAGCAATGGCCCTTTGTGCCAAGATTAGGGTGACACAACTAAGCCACCTGACTTCCCTGGCTTGAACACTGAAACCCTAGGAAACTCCTTAGTTCTAGGAAAACCAGGATGGTTGGTCACCTTAGCCCTGCCTCAGAAAACAGTTTGCTCTGCTGCACATGGTTTCTGGTTCCCATCCCTGCACGCTTCACTACCAGTGGGGAAGGAGGAGCATGGAGCTCAGCCCTAACCACTAAGAGCCAACCAAGTATCGCACACGTGAACTCCATGCACGTCTCCTTCGCCACCGCTGCGCTCATGGCCATAGCTAGGCTCTTAGCTAGCAGTTAGACACAGTTTCTATTGCCAAAGGAGAAGGGCAGTGTGGGTATTGGAGGATAATAGAGGCTTCTATCACAAGGTACTACTATATGAATGTACCATTCTTTGTAAAGTATTCAAATAGAAAAAAATTCAAAGAATTATATACACATAATAGATAGAATTGAAGGCTCTGTTTTGCTTTGTTTTTTCCCACCTGACTTGATCGTGTGATATGTTCTTGATGGTTCGTGCTCCCCTTTGGAAGCCCATAGTCTTAAGTCTGGTGGGTAGCAGTACGGTTGGGAGAAATGGCTCTGTTCAGGAGGATCTATGTTGAAGACAGAGTGAAAAGAACGGAATGGTTTGGATAGGGCAGCCCACTACTGTGCAGTCGATTCTGACTCATGGTGGTCCTAGGGGACCGAGTCAAATGCCCTATAGGGTTTACAGGCTGCAGATCTTTATGGAAGCAGATTGCTTGCTTTATCGTTCTCTGAGGAGTAGTTGGCGGGTTCAAACCACTGACCTTTTGGTTGCCGCTGAGTGTTTTGACCACTGCTCCACCAGGGTTCATTGGATGAGGCATGGAAGTGCCTAATGAGAAATACTAGATGGCCCCAAGGTTTCTGGCCCAAACCGCTGTATGAAGAGTGTTAGCCTTTCTGAAACCTGGAAGAGCGTCTGTGTGAGTTGGAAATCCCAAGTCCAGGTGGGATCCACAGTGCAACCTGTGAGAGCCGAGACTCAGCAGGACGGCCTTCTCGTGCTAGGCCTTGCAGTTGTTCTGCTTTTGGTTGTGTCCTGTTGCTCCTGTTAGTGAGAGATATTTGCCTTTTCCTGTTTTCTCACTGGCCATCACCTTACACAGCTTCCCGCTTTCACAGAGTTCACTGCGCCAAGATGGAGGTGCCAAGTAAGGCACTCGGGCTTCTGGTCGACCTCAGGGGGTTCTTCGTGTACCCATTGCACAGAACGAGAAGTGGAAGCATCGGGTTCCACTGTTTCCTGCAGTGGGCAATCCTGCCCCCTGGGGGACACTGGGACAATCCAGGAGAGGCTACCAAAGCAGATGCCTACACTTTACCCTGGATGATGGGCTATAGTACAAAAGTTTTAAATTGCCAGGGGTGGGGGTTGGTGGGTGGGGGGAGGTGGAGGCTAAGTAATTGTTTTTCTTGAAAAGGAGGCAGGAAGCCAAATAAGTTTGAGAACCTGTGCCTGAGACAGTGTTACAAGCATCAGGATTGAGTGAAAGAGATGGAAATGACTGGCTAAGGATGGGGAAGGAAACCCAGAATGGGGCCTCTCAGAAGCCAAATGAAGAGAGGAGCCAGCCAGCCACGCAATCGACAGGCCAAGAGGGACAAGGAGGGAATTAAGGACTCAGCACGTTGATGTTGTCATCTTCCACAAATATCAGCTGCCCTAAGTGCCCTTGGGAGATGAGCTTTCAGAAGGGCCTGCATCCCTTAGGAAGGAGCCCTGGTGGCACCTTGGGGTCAGCGCTAGCCAGCTAACCACAAGGACAGCGGTTCGAACCCACCAGCTGTTCCATGGGCAGAAGATGAGTCTGTGCTCCTGTCGAGATGTGCAGTCTCAGGAGCCCTCTCTACAGAGGGTTGCTGTGAGCGGGAACTGACTGGATGCCAGTGGGTGTGTATCAGTTAGAACTCGGTTCTGCTGCAGAAGGGGAACAGTGGCTTAAAGTGTAGTTTACTTCTTCCACATTAAAAAGAGAGAGAAAAATCAGAGATAGGTCACCCAGGGGCGTCAGGGAGCCATGTGCAGCCAAGTTGTTGTATCTCTGGCTGCCAGCAATGGAGGCAGCAGGCACCCATTGCCTTAAAAGGAGCCTGTTTGCATCTCCTAGTGCATCAGCCACATGGCCAAGCCTCTCTGCACGAAAGGCTGAGGATAGGACTTTTGAGTTGAGGGTAGGCAGTATATCCCACTCACGTTCAGGATTCTGTTACTGATGGGAAAGGGTGGGCGCCAGGGGAAAGGGGCAGCTGGAAGTTTCTGGCCAGGGTCCTGCCAACTCAAACCAGCCCACCTGTGTTTCATCTAAGAGTAACGTGTATGTATGGGCGTGTGTCTGTCCACGATCTTTCATTCTCTCTGTTGTGCATTTCCTCCCAATGCATTGTGGGCAGTACCCTGATACCATTGGGTGTGAATTGAGGAATGAG